TTTGTCTTTGGCCCTGGTTTGGCGATGCCAGAACGACGCTGGCCAGAGTTGGGGCGTTGCCCTGTAACCTGCAATTGGCAGGAGTGTGAGGCCTCGTAGAGAGATCTGGGGATTTGCCGAGGGAGGAAGGCAATCCAGTGGCGAACCGGGGGGGGCTGCCTTGACAACCTATGGGGCCAGGGATAGTCTAGGTGGCGAGAACAGGTCAGCTATGGTATACATTGGTTAGGAGGGTATTGTCTCTGAGATGTAATGTCCTGGTGTAGGACGGGCTGAGAGGGTTCGAAAATTAGGAGGCCAGAAGTGCTGTTATAACATAGTTTTCTTTATTTTCTATATAATCATCATCATCATCATCATCATCATCATCATCATCATCATCATCATCATCTGGTTATTGTTATATTAAGTTTTTGGTGTTCTGAAATTTTGGCAGCATCTAGCATTCTTCCACCTTCGGGATATAGGACTTCAGAGATGGTTGAACCTCGATTGATATCTATTGAGTTACTCTGTTCTGTGCCCTTGGTTTGGCGATGCCAGAACGACGCTGGCCGAAGCTGGGGCGTTGCCCTGTAACCTATAAATGGCAGGAGTCTGAGGCCTTGTAGAGAGATCTGGGGTTTGCTGAGGGTGGAAGGCATTCCAGTGGTGAACCGGGGGGGGCTGCAAGGAGGCGAGAAAAGATCAGCTATGGTTGATGTTGATTGGTTTTGTCTTTGAGGTACAGTGTCCTGGTATAGGGAGGGCTAGGAGTTGTACTAGGATTAGGAGGCCAGAATAGCTGATATAGCATAATCTTCTATATTTTTTCATATATTTGAATCATCATTCTCATTAGCATCATTATCTATGGTATCATCAGTATCATTTATGGTCATCATCATAACCATTTGAGGGACGCTGAGCCTGGTTCTCAGCAGTTTCGGTTCGATCACTCCGGGCAGACGGTGAGGACCCCGGCCTCAATCTTATTATTGGTAATATCAGCCTTGGGCACGGGGCCCAGTTAAAAAAAAAAAAAAAAGAAAAGAATCTATGTGGAGCAAAAAAAAATAAAAATAAATAAATAAAAAGGCCATGTATAATTCGCAAGCTATGTATATGCCCAAAGGATGTGTGTGCTCTGTGAATCAATGTATCGAGATGTATAGGCAGCATCATGTGTGTATATCGAAGAGAGAACGGGGTAAGCTGGACGAGGACACCCCCAAGATCCGAGCCAAGCTCGAACCCGTGACCTTGAAACATGTAATCGTATGACTCTACGATTGGAACGGCCCATACCTGTCCCTAGATACTAGACCCCACCCAGTGACTAGACCCCCCCAGTCTGATCGTTGTGTAGTTCGAAATGTATGTGTATTCCCGAAGGCTGTGTATGCTTCGTGTATCTATGTATGAAGATGTACAGACAACATTATGTGTGGAAACTTGTGTATGTAGCCCGTAGGCCATGTATAATTCGCAAGCTATGTATATGCCCCAAGGCTGTGTGTGCTCTGTGAATCAATGTATCGAGATGTATAGGCAGCATCATGTGTGTATATCGAAGAGAGAACGGGGTAAGCTGGACAAGGACACCCCCA